CGGACATTAAATATCTGTGAACTTGGCAGACATTGACCCAAGTTTGAAAAACTTTTCATCTCTGTTGGCTTCCCTGTGTTTTTCCTGCCAGACGGCTTCGACTGGAGACAAACAACTTCTCCCGGATATCAAGATGAAGAGACGCTCTGAAATTCCTGTTCCCTGTCAAGGACACCAGTTGGACTCTACAGGCTTACACACACACAGCAACAGATAGACAATCACTACCTAGTGCCGCATCGCTCGCCTTTGTGTGCCTTCACCAACTGGTGGGGGTAGGGGTCTGTAACCAGCGCTCTTTAGCTACGCGACGAGATGGCTGACCGCCCTCATTAGACTATCAACATCCCCTGTTGCAATGTTATGTCTGCGTGTTTGTTTGTTCGTTTGCTGGTGCTTTTTTCCATCCCTGATCTCACACTGCCCTAATTCAAGGGTATAATGTGAGGAATTTATTTTTTACCTTTCTCCCCTTATGTATCTTATTTCCATTTTCTAAACGCTACCTCTCGTCCACCTGTCTTCCCTGAAAATTGATGTTTGTGTATGGTGGGGTCCGATTTCACTACATGACAGTGCATGTGACGGATAACGGCTTCATTCATTATACCCGGCTTGAAAATGCTCAAAAGCAACTCGGCCAGCCGATTAAAAAACTCTGCTAGGATGTGTCCACCCGATGGGTCAGTACATTGTACATGTTCCAAAGTCTGTTAGAACAGAAACTGGCGCTTGCAGCTTATGCTGCAGAACACAAATTGCCATGCACGTTCACAATTCACCAGTGGAAATTAATCGAAAACATGGTTTCCATTCTCGCCCCGTTTGAAGAGCTCACACAACACATCAGCTCATCAACTGCGGATGTGATTCCGTGTATAAAAGCTCTCACTCGACTCTTGGACAAGACAGTGGAGTCTGACCAAGGTAGAAGCTGTCAGAAGACAAATTACTGACATTGATACACAGAAGCTACATGCAATTACGACAATGCAAGATCCAAAGTTAGTAGGGCTGTAACGATTCACCAAACCCACGATTCGGTTCGTATCATGATTTTTGTTTTACAATTCGGTTCGTATCACGATTTTTTTTTCCGTGTGGGGTGGGAAAAAAAAAGATTTTTAAAACTATGTTTTATTAAATAACATTTGAAAAAATCTTAATAAACGGAACATCAAAGAACAATATTAACTATGCAAATTATTAGCAATATGAATAGCCATATATAAAATAAATAAATAGGCAAAGCTATATCACTTCTGTTTTCTTTGTAACAAAATTTTGTTGAAAAACCAAACAAAACTAAAACTATTGTGTAGATGGTTCAAGCATGTTGAAAATTCTTTTTCAATCAAGTTCTCTAACATAGAAAAAGTAAATTAAATAGCTACTAGGGATGCTCATTTCGGTTAATTTTGCTAACCGACAACCGCCGCTCATTAATTGGTTATTAAGGATTAACTATAGATTACTATTATTTTTATATTAAACAAATTGACGTGTCTATTTTGTGTTTGACACATTAAATATTGCATTTTAAAATACTGATTTATTTTTAAATGCTAGCATATTAATAGAACAGAAGAAGCATCTTCACGCACCTGCAGTGTTTAGCACAGAAGAGCAAAATAATCTAAATAAAATGAATAAATTAAATAGGACTGCCCTAAATTATTTTCACTTAAATAATTAATTTATATTACAAAACGAAAACACTGACTGATTCTTTTTAATAACCGGCATATAGGCTGTATTTTCCAATCATATGTTTTTTCTTCCGTCAAATAAAAATCGCTGACTTCCTCAAATTGCTCGCTCCACGGAAAATATGCATTTATTTAATGCCCCGCTGTTATTATTATAATCACAAAACCTTTTACATTTTTAATAGAAATCCTTATTTTAAAGATTATGTCTTGCGGTTTCCTCTCTCCCTTGCGGTTCAAGTGCGCGCGCTGCGTGATGAAAAGACAACAACGCGCGCATATATTGACTTTTTGTAAACAGTTGTGTTGTTTAAATATGATATTGCATTAATGTGCATACATGCTTTATAAGCTGTAAATTAAAAAGTAAAGCCTACATGTTGCGTTTATTACGCAGATCCAGGTCAACATAAGCGCTGCAGCATCAACACGTCTGTATCAAACAGCAATATTCTTCTACCATTTTGCTTCTTTGGCAAATGTGTCTGTAGGCACGGGTTATACGTTATCGTCCCGCAAATTAAATATGTCTTGCAGTTGAACAAGGGGCCAAAAACAAGGTGCATCTCACTGCCTTTATGTTGACAAGGAAAAAAGACGAGAAGAAGCGCGGTCCTCTTATGAAACGACTGAATCAGCTGGGTATCGATTGTGCAAAAGTGTTGCTGTCTGTGTTGTTACAATTGTAATATTTAATACTATTGTGATATTCAAGATATGTATATTCATACAGCTCTGGATAACTTAAAACAGCGATTAGACCATCAGAGCGGCATTAATGCGTCCTGAAGTAAAGCGAAACGGCTATAAACTCCAGCAAGATAGAGTGATTATATGCAGAACCATATACCTTTATCTCTAAATAAAGTATAACTATAGAAACTGTGTTCATCTTAACTGAAAGCTTCGTCGGGTTTCCTGGTCTCACACATCGCGCACCTGTCAGTCAGCAGGTAATGTTAACTCCCAAAGGGTTAAACAGAAAGCGCACAGGACGGTTACAGAAAAGTTTGCACTGTTATAATTCACTTAACTTTTGGCTACTTTTTCACACTGAGGTAACTGAGGCTTTAATGCCTGTGCTGCAAACCACAAATCAAGTAAACATTAAACAAATAAACAACTTATTTCTCTCAAGAAAACCAAACTCGTTTGATTCAAGGGAGTTGAAAATTCTTCTGAAACACCATCATGTCAACATTGCAGTGAAAAAACGTGACAACTTTCCTTACTCTGCAAAGGAGTCGGGGCATCTGGTGAACGCCCATCCCTCTCTGCGCAGCCACATTAACAGTGTGAGCAAATCATCGTATATGCGTTGAAAATCCGGCCGCTTTGACAGCATTGACAATGTTTCTGGCGTTGTCGGTTGTCAAGCGGGGTTACGTTGGTTTTGTTTTTTTATATTCCTGACACATTCAGACAGTCCCTTACTAAGAGCTCCGTGCGAGCTCTCCCGGCTAAAGGCATATTGCGAGGGCTTAAACAGAGCAGTGCTCGTAATGTCGAGCGAAAAAAAAAACGTTTCTTCACGTTCTTCTTCAACTAGCTCAACTTTTGCAGGCACGCGTGACGTTATTGGAAGTCACGGGGTGTGTCGCGGTTCTCCCTTATCAGACCGCGACACAGGATCGTAGATCTGAGTGTCGCGATTTCGTATCGTGAATCGTTACAGCCCTAAAGGTTAGAGAAACTTTTCATCACTCTTTCCCTGTCATTTGGCTAACCATCTCTTTGTTTTAAGTAGATAATTAGGCTTTTCTAATGTCTTTGTGGGGAATCAACCTACGTTAAAAGATCAATCAGAAATTTATTAGCTCATTTCAAGGAATGGGAGCTCGATGATTCGAATAACTTGATTCGACTCAATTGAGTCAGACTGAATCTGATTAAAGATTCACACTTTACTAACCATTTGTCCAGCAAATAGAAGACATCGTATTTCACCAATCTTGTTTATTTTATTTCCGTGGTCAACGATATTAACATAACACAGTATTGGGTCAACTTTTAGCAAGGTAACAAAATCTACAGCTCGAGGCAATGACTTAGAAGCTCATAAACAAAATGAAACAAAGAATTATTGAGCTACACTACGATACATGAAACTAACTATGTCATAAAAATAACATCAAACACACAGACACATTCACACTGAGGCAGTTCAGAGGATTCCAAATGAGTAGACAACCATCCCAAATTACTTCTAGTACTTATTACTAGATCTTAGAATCCCACCTGACAAAAAAAAACAAAGGCAGATATTTGGCCAAGTCATTCAATCTGCACCTGCAGATCAGCAAGAGACATCATTTGTTTGTGCTACTTGTGCTTTTGCTGGAAGTCTTGAGTTTCCCTCGCTGGGCTGGCGTCTGGGAAACAGCGCTCCTGATTGGTTGGTGACTCGCTTCAGTGACGTCTATGGAATTCACTTGCTTATGAGTGGAGGTTGTCCTGGGTTACCGGGTGTAATACTGAGAGTCAGTTTTCAGTCAACTTTAAGAGGTTGCATGGAAACTTTTTGGTAACCCAATCGTGTGGCGGCGCGGTGTTTGAGCAGGGCAAAAGGGGGCAGAGAGCACAGCTAGTGCGAGCAAGCTAATGCAAAAAGCAATGTTTTACTGTTGCAGTACGTTTTTAAGTGATCTGGTCTTCCAATGAGCAGTTGCCATGGAGGGTCGAGCCACGCCAAAGTCCCTTTAAGGCAGGGGTCACCAATCTCATTGCTGGAGGGCCAGTGTCCCTGCAGGGCTTAGCTCCACAACACACCTGCCTGGGTGTTTCAAGAAAACCTAGTAACACCTTGATTAGCTTGTTCAGATGTGTTTGATTAGGATTGGAGCTAAAATCTGCAGGACATCGGCGCCTTCAGGAACAAGTTTGGTGACCACTGCTTTAAGGCAAGTCATTTCACGTTTTAAAGATGGCGGCCATCTTTGAAACACTTCTCAGGCAGTATGCTCGAGCATTCTGTTTGAATGGGGAAACATCAAGTTCTCCAAAATTGCTTGCCAAGCTTATGATTGAATTTCATATTAGAAATCACCAATCAAATTAAACAACATCTGTCTCGTTAGTTTCATTTCTAAACGTCCAAATCACACAAAATCTGCAGAAACTCACGTCTGGTCCAAGCCCCTCTCCCAGAGTATTGTCAGTCTATAGCAGAGGTCACCAAACTTGTTCCTGGAGGGCCGGTGTCCAGCGGATTTTAGCTCCAACCCTAATCAAACACACTTGAACAAGCTAATCAAGGTCTTTTTAGGTATACTTGAAATATCCAGGCAGGTGTGATGAGGCAAGTTGGAGCTAAACCCTGTAGGGACACCGGCCCTCCAGGACCGAGATTGGTGACCCCTGGTCTATAGCAATTGATGAGTGTCAGAATGTTGTGGGACTACTATACAAGAGTTATCATCATGGATTATAGTTAGTCAAATTTAGCGGTTTTTAGTTTAGCGGGGAGGGGGGTTAAGCATGAAGGTAAAACATGAACGGCGTGTTGGGACACTCCAACCCCTTCACAGGCTAAGGATTGGAATTGGGCATTAGTTTCATTTCTACAAATGGTGCAAACTCTGCTAGATTATAGATAAAAGATTCCCATTCCCCGGCAGATCTGGATCTTGGTAATCAGCCCCAACAATGCTGATCAGAGCATCACTAGTAGTTTTCACATACTTTAATTCATGCCATTCAGGCAGCTTCTTTCCCATGTGGACTTCCATGTGTTCCTTAAGATGCAACAACTCTGTGAAACTCTGGACACAGATCTCATGCCTATGGTTTCTCTCCAGTGTGAATCCTCTGGTGTATTTTTAGATACCCTAACTGAGCGAATCTCTTGTCGCAGTGTGCACACTTGTAGGGTTTCTCTCCTGTGTGAATCCTCTGGTGTATTTTTTGATATCCTAACTGAGCGAATCTCTTGTCGCAGTATGCACACTTGTAGGGTTTCTCTCCAGTGTGAGTCCTCTGGTGTATTTTCAGAGGTCCTAAATGAATGAATGCCTTGTTGCAGAGTAAACACTTGTAAGGTTTCTCTCCAGTGTGAATTCTCTGATGCATGATAAATTGCCCTAACTGAGTGAAACTCTTGTTGCAGAGTAAACACTTGTAAGGTTTCTCTCCAGTGTGAATCCTCTGGTGTACTTTTAGATATCCAAAACGATTGAATGCCTGGTTGCAGTGTGAACACTTGTAAGGTTTCTCTCCAGTGTGTATCCTCTCATGTACTTTTAGATATCCCGAATGACTGAATCTCTTGTTGCAGTGTGAACACCAGTAAGGTTTCTCTCCAGTGTGAATCCTCTCATGGTTAGTTAGTTGTCCTGAAACGGTAAACCTCTTGCTACAGTATGAACACTTGTAGGGTTTCTCTCCAGTGTGAATCCTCTCATGTATTTTTAGATGTCCTGAATGATTAAATCTCTTGTCGCAGTGTGAACACTTGTAAGGTCTCTCTCCAGTGTGAATCCTCTCATGTACTTTCAAGTCTTCAGCCGTACGAAAGGCCTTGTCACACTCAAAGCACATATACTCTCTCACACCAGTGTGAATCGTCTGATGTTTTCCTAAGTTTCCTTGATATGAGAAACTCTTTCCACACACAGAGCATGAATAAGGCTTCTCCTTTGTGTGAACTCTAAGATGAACCTTCAGCTCTGAACCCCTCAAAAATGTTTTGCTGCAGTGATCACATCTGTGTGTTTTCTCTCCAGTGTGAATCATCTTGTGGTTATTAAGGTTTGATGAGCATCTGAAACTCTTCCCACACTGAGAGCATGTGAATGGTTTCTCTCCGGTGTGGATCCTCATGTGATTCTTGAGACTGGCTTTTTTTGCCCGATGTACCCCACACAGAGGGCATGTGAATGGTTTTTCTCCGGTGTGAGTCCTCATGTGATTCTCGAGACTGGCTTTGTATGCCATACTTTTCCCACACTGAGGGCATGTGAATGGTTTCTCTCCGGTGTGGATCCTCATGTGAGTCTTGAGACTGTCTTTGTTTGACAGACTCTTTCCACACTGAGTGCAAGTGACACATTTTTTGTCTTTTCTCTTCAGCAAGTGAGTTTCTCTCATTTCGACATGATGCTGTGTCTTCTCCATCAAGCCTGAAATAAAAATAGGATAACTGCCTTTTAAATAAAAGGACAAACAAGTGAAGGTACACAAAAACTACATGAAATCATGAGCACTTTGGTGACCTTTTTAAAAACCTTGTTCCTGGAGCAATGCACTCTTGCTCTGAGACAGGAGTAAGACCAAACTCTGTCTTGGAGAGCTGGTACCCTGCTGACTTTAGCTCCAACTTGCTTTAACACACCTGTCAGGAAGTTTCTAGTATACCTAGTAAGAGCTTGATCAGCTGGTTCAGGTGTGTTTTAATTAGGGTTGGAGCTAAAATCTCCAGGACACCGGCCCTCCAGGACAGAGTTTGGACACCCCTGCCTTAGACATAGCTTGTTACCTGGCCATTAGGGGTGCTGACTGTGTTTGTTGGTCTACTTAAGAAGTTCAAGCATAGGAAGAAGTCAGTGTGGACTGTGGGGAAGGGCTGCGTCCGAAACCGCCAACTACTCAGTAGGTACTGCATTTGAATTTAAACGTACTACTCGGCCGTTAGAAAAGTAAGTTCTATACAGTATGAATGTGAAAAGTATGAATGGAATTCGGACGTACTACATCCGCCATTTTGTCATGGTCACGCGACCTACCTACGTCAGTTGCGTCGTTTTAAGGCTGATTTATACTTCTGCGTCAAACGCCGGCGTCGCTGACGTGCACCTCTCAAAAAAATGTAACTACACGTCGCAACAACGCGTAGCGCAAGCTCTGTGATTGGTCGGCTTGGTAGCGCTGACGAGTCTGGGCGGGACCGAGAGCCGCGTGAATGGTGCGAGCCTGATGGAGCCATTGTTTACAAGTGTGAAGTCCCCTGAAGGAGCTCCGGACGGAAAGTTTTGTTTTGTGTTTACCTCATAGTTAAAGTTGTTGTACGTCCGCCGGTTCCTGCTACAAAATGAGCGAGTTTGAGCCACTTGTACATCCCGGAAAAGCAACACGGCAGCGAAGAAACTCGACACAGAGACACATTTACACCTCACTGCCAACTAGCGTTTCGGAAGTGTTAATGCAGACCAACAGAGACAGCGCGCAGAAGTATAAATGCACAGCTACGCGCGTTGCATGCGCTGTGGGTTAAACGCAAAAGTATAAACCAGGCTTTACTCCCATTCATGAATTCTCTCGCGGGATATCATGGGATAGTGCAGCATGCATGGGATGCGCACTCCAGAATTTTGCTGGCAGTAGTAAGTTATCCGGGTACTTCTCGCATGCTGATTTTCGAATTCTATGAATTCGGACATACTACTCAGCTCGCATACTGATTTTAGCGTACTATATAGTAAGGAAGTATGCGGTTTCGGACGCAGCCGAGGTGTTTTGGTGGTTGGCTGGGAACACCAGACCTATTCGGTGTCCCAATTCGCATACATATACTTCGTTCCCAAAGGTATGTACTTTTTTGTGAAAAGTGCATACTTTAGAGTGTGTATCAGAAGAGTGTGCAAACCTTGGGACATACTACTTCATCAACGGACCATTATGATGCTTCGTTACGTCTTGTCAATTGTCTCGACACATCATCCACATTTCTTTTATATTTAGAGGTCTTATTAAGTGCTTTAAAATATGCATCTCTATTCGATGTTTAGCGTAATCTCAACCAAAACACGAAGGAAAGGTGGGAAATAGTGTAGCTCCTCCCCTTTGAAAAACAGCCAATAGTGTTTTATCATTGCTCTGCCAGTGGGAGTGGTTGAGCTCAAGTGCATCAAATGTGAAGCATCTTGAAGGGGGCGGGGCATGTCAAGACACTAGAGCAGGGGTGTCCAAACTGGAGGGCCGGTGTCTTGCAGATTTTAGCTCCAACTTGCCTCAAAACACCTGCAAGGATGTTTCTAGAAAGCCTAGTTAGAGCTTGATTAGCTAGCCCAGGGGCTTCATGTATCAACGCTGCGTACGCACAAAAACTTTGCGTACGCCAGGTTTCACGCTCAGAATCGCTCACGTTTGGATTTACTAACAATGAACTGAACGTGGGAATGTGCGCAGCTTCACGGCAGCTTTATGGCTGGCGTGCGCACATTTTTTGTGCGTGTCTGTTTTATTTCCATTGGCGACTCCTAGAGGCAGTTGTGTTAAATTCCTCTCTACAAAGTGTCTGAGCCTTGCAATGGCAGCTGTATGAGACGGGCTCATCTAGCAGGTATATAAGGTTTCCATACCATACAGTTGACCAGCCAAACATTAAAGCACAATTTGCAGCGGTCGCCTGTTTTCCCAATGTAATCTGAGCGATCTACAGCACACACATTGCTATAAAGACACTATCTGAAGATGAATTTGCATGCGTGAATCAAAAACATTTCCATTCAATAAATGTGCAAATAAAATATGATGCACAAACTTATTAATGATTCCTACTTGTCTTTCTCATGATAAATAGTGGGCAAAATCTGATATGTAGTGGTGAAAAAAACGAAGAAAGTTCATCAGACGCTGGATTCGAGCCGAGTTTATGCTCAAACGTGTCAATACATGATCACATGCGTCTTACGAACTGCGCCACTGAGACTGCTAAGGGTACTGCAACATTTTACACTTATAAAATCACACTATTTCTTTTTTAAGTCACTCAGTGCGATGTTCAAAACTAACTGTGTTAACCGCATCAGCTAAACTCTCCCACTCTATTTTTTTCCTTTGTTGTTAATTCCGGAAAACAAACTTGCAAATAACACCGCTGTTCTCCGGTCTACCTCCGAAAGCAGCACCTACAATTCACATTCTGTTCAAAGTTTCTCTTTTTGCTTGATTTTGCCTTTGCTTTTTCGTTGGGTTTTTCCATTAGCATAGTCATTAGCATATTCATACGGGGGAGGAGGCAGGGAGGGGTTTTGTGTTCGTGCATGTTGCGCTCAGTTTCACGTTCATTCGGATGTTCAAAAGAATATGCGTGAGATTCGGCGTACGCAGTGTTTCATACATCTGAATTTTTTTCTGCGTACACACATTTACAGCTTTGTGCGTACGCAATGTTTTAGTAAGATTTCCACGCAAGTCTTCGTACATGAGGCCCCAGGTGTTTCTGATTGAGGTGGAAACTGAACTTTGCAGGACACCAGCCTTCCGAGTTTGGACACCCCTGCACTAGAGAAAGGGTTCATACACATTTTTACTACTAAAATTTTATGACTTTTCCAGGACTTTCAAGTGAACTTTCATGACCAGGGTTCTCATGTACAAAGACTTGCTTTGAATTCATACTAAAACATTGCGTACGGACAAAGCTGTAAATGTGCGTACGCAGTAAAAAAAATCAGATGTATAAAACACTGCATATGCGTAATCCGACGCATATCCTCTTTGTACATCCGAATTAATGTGAAACTGACACACATGAACAAGTGCAAAACCCCCTCCCTGCCTCCTCCCCCTAATGAATATGCTAATGACTCCACTTTGGCAAAACTAAACAACAAAGCAATGGCAAATGCAAGCAAGCAGAGAAACTTTTAAAAGAATGTGAATTGGATGTACTCCTATCGGAGGTAGACCGGAGAAAAACTGTGTTATTTGCAAAATTCTCCTCCGGAATTAAAAACTAAAGAAAACAATAGAGTGGGAGATTTTAGCTGACGCGGTTAACGCATTGGGGTCTGAACATCGCACTGCGAGTGAATTAAAAAAGAAACGGTCCGATGTAAAGGTGTAGGTTAAGTGAAGAACAGCGGCGCACCGTCAAAGTGGGGACCGAACAGATGGGGGAACAGGGGATGCTGAACTAACACCCTTTGAGGAGAGAGTAACACTTTACTGTCTGGAGTAGTATCCGTGTCTGTGGGAGATGCCCAATCGCCTGCTCTACAACTGACCGACTACCTGCCACCTTGGAGCCTCATCCCAACCATGCTGTTTATAAGTATCACATATTATTTGCACATTTATTAAATGGAAATGTTTCACATATGCAAATTCGTCTTCAGATGGCGCCTTTATAGCAATGTGCGTGCAGTCAATCGCTCCGATTACAGTAGGAAAACCGGCCAACGCTGCAAATTGCGCTTTCATGTTTGGCTGGTCAACTGCATGGCATGGAAACCTTATATACCTGCTAGACATGTGGATGATCTCACCCCGTACAGCTGCGATTGCATCAAAGATACTTTGTAGTGTGCAGTTTAACATATTTGCCTCTAGGATCGCCAATGGAAAAAAAACAAACACTCACAAGAAATACACGAACTCCAGGCATGAAGTTGGCGTGGGCTAACGCACTCTCATGTTAATTTCATCGTTAGTAAATCCAAACATCCAATGGTTCTTGTGTACGCAGCGTTGATACTGGAGGCCCCTGATGTTTTATTTTATGTCTATGTATACATGGTAAACAATAAGAAAAACAATGCGCATTCAAATTGATGACATCATATTATAAAACATCAATTTAATTTATTATTATTTTTATATCTATGTAAAATGTATTTAGATAATGCTTACTCAGCACTAATAATGTGACAGTATGTTTTTGGCCAAGGACAGAATAGAAGTAAAGACAAGTAACCTATATTCAAATATACAAAATATTTGTTAAACCAATTTTCATTACTTTTCCAAAACCTTGTTCGAATTTCAGATTTTACAAATCTTTTCCAGGCATGGAAAAAGCCATGTTAAAATTTCCTGATTTTTCCATGACCGCATGAACCCTGTAGAGAGCATTTGATTGGTTATGATTTGATTAGAATCTGAAGTATGAGGTGATGTGCAGTGGTGGAAATAACTAATTATAACTATTCACGTTACTGTAATTAAGAAAATTTTTGCGGTATTTGCACTTTCGTGAGTAGAATTTTGAAGTCAGTAATTTTACTTGTACTTGAGTACAAATGAACAGAGAAATTCACTTTGTTACTTTTAAAATCATAATTCAATAAAAATAAATCTCATCTTAACGGACCAATGAAAAGCCTGGTACGTCATTTGAACCGAAAAACAAGTTCAGGCTCCGGCAGATTTACGTGAACTGACCAGCATCATACAGTCA